ATGCATGCATGCATGCATGCATGCATACTCTTCTTTTGTTAAAATTCCAGAGTCCTTTAAAACCGAGGTTGTCAACCCCCCGGTCTGTGGCCCAGTGTCGGTCCACGGCCTGAGCTGGACCAGACCGCGGAGACAGACCTCCCGCCCCCCCCAGCACTCTTATTTATTTTTTCTAAATCATAAACAGTCCAGTCTATTTTTGGTGCCGTCTTCTTCAGCCAGGCTAGGGCTAGTTCAGTGAAGTCCTTATCTTTGGAGGCCAAATCCGGAATTCCTTTCAATCTAATATTATTATTATTCATACCAACCCCCCCTTCTTCTTTTTCCCCCTCATAACAAGCAGATCTTGCATGGGGCTTTGCCACCTTTCTCTTAGCCTCTTCCTTCTCGTCCTCTTGCACTTGTGACCCTCCCTTAACGCCTTCCTGCCTAAGGGGCCTGGACAATGCTGGCAAAACCACCATCCTGAAGAAGTTCAATGGAGACGAGATCGACACCATCTCCCCCACCCTGGGTTTCAACATCAAGACCTTGGAGCATCGAGGGTGAGGCCACCCCCAACCTGTGCAATCCACTCTCCCAGGATTTTTGCTCTCTCTCGAGGAGCAGCAATGACCAAATGGAGGCTGTCGCCCTTCGAGTGCATAGTGGAAAGACAATAATGCTGGGGAAAGTTGGGGGCAGTAGGAAATGAGGAGGGCCCTGTGTGAGATGGATTGACTCAACAAAAGAAACCACAGTGTTTGGTTTCCAAAAGCCGAGCAGGAGTGTCAGTGACAGAATCTTTTGGATGTCATTCGTTCGTAAGTTTGCTATACGCCAGAAGCAAACTTCACAGAACGTACTGGTTGTTGCAGAACAGGATAGATTAGGCATTGCAAAAGTTATTTTTGACTACAGTTCCCAGCATCCCTTAACCTACGCTGGGCTGGAGGATTTGGGGTATTGTAGTCCACAAAAGGGCCTTTTCTTTGCTCTGGGACGGAGCGAGGCCTCCTTTTGCCCCCTTCGCCTGACCCACCTCTCCCCTCTCCTTCCCGCTTAACAAGGCCTATCATTCCCCCCCCTTGCAGGTTCAAGCTGAATATGTGGGACGTGGGGGGCCAAAAATCTTTGCGCTCGTACTGGCGGAACTACTTTGAGAGCACGGACGGCTTGATCTGGGTGGTGGACAGCGCTGACAATCTGCGGCTAGAGGACTGCAAGCGGGAACTGCAGAGTCTTCTGGTGGAGGAGGTAGGGGGACCCGGGGGTGGCTCTGTGCACGTTTATTAAGAAACACTGTACTTTTGGAGATAAATGGGGTGAAAAGGGGTACAGATCGGTATTATTGGTCACCTAGTCCCAAGGGTGCACAGGTGGGAAAAGTTCAATGTGCATTGCGTGTAGTCACCACTGAGTCTGTATTTTAGTTTTAATTTTGTTATTTGTCCCTTTTCCGTTTAACAATAAAATTGAAAAAAGAAACACTGGATAAGGCTAAAAGGGGTAAACGTCCCATTGACACCTATGTTCCATTGTACTGAAATGCCAGAGGGAGATGCGGAGAGGGCTTGGCGGGAAGGATGAAGGATGATAATATTGGCCCTACTGGATTGAGTTGCTGCAGGGTGGTTTCCTCTACACCTGTTCAAATGCCTGTTTATGAAGAACAATGAAGACTAGAAACTTATTTTAATTTTTTAATGGGATGAATCATAACTAACGGGGTAGAACTCAGATTTTGCCAGGATCTCTAGCCAAGAAACGAAGGGGAGCCATCAGGAGTCAAGGTTGACGGCGCTGGATATAACAGGCCAGCGATCTGACTTGGTGTTAGCCAGGCTACTTCATGTAACCTGTTGTTTCTCTCCTGCTAGCGCTTGGCTGGAGCCACTTTGCTCGTCTTTGCCAACAAGCAGGACCTGCCAGGGGCCCTGAGCTCCAGCGCCATCCAGGAGGTAAGAACCAAAGGCAGGATGGAGGAGAGAGAGGCACGCAGGACCTGCAACTGCTTGGAGTGGTTTGGCGTCCAAGAAGTGCCTGTAATGCTGTCTTCTGGGCTCCTGATCTTCCTTCAGAACAAGGTTCAGGGGGTGGGGGGGCTTTCCTCTTATTGCCACAATGGCTGCTGATTCCCAATTTCAAGCGTGCTGGGAATCTGGTCTCCACGTATAAGACTATACTTTTGTCTAAACTCCCAATTTCAAGCGTGCTGGGAATCTGTTCTCTATTTTACGATATTTTTCCATGTATAAGACTATAAAGGTAAAGGTTCCCCTTGACAATTTTTGTCCAGTCGTGTTCAACTCTAGGGGGCGGTGCTCATCCCCGTTTCCAAGCCATAGAGCCAGACACTTGCTGAGCCCCACTTAGATTTCTTAATTTTGGATTAGAAAAGTGGGGGTATCTTATACATGGGGGCATCTTATACACGGAAATATATAGTACTTTGTATTTTATCTGGTTCAAAACCAGGAACTTGAAGTGTTGTGTACTGGCCAAAGTCACCCACCTCTGGAATCTGGAAGAAATAGTTGGGTGTGAGCAGAGTGTTTAGAATGGATTTTTTCCAGATGGCCGGTATAAAAATCAAATGAATAAATAAAATAAATTATGCTTGAGTCCTGGCATAGAGTCAGGTCAGTCTAGTTTCCATGTAGGCTTTGCACCAAAGATTTCCAGAAATGTAACCCTATTTTTCTTTCCCCCCCCCCTTCCTCCCCAGGCTTTGGATCTGGATAGCATCCATACCCACCACTGGTGCATCCAGGGCTGCAGCGCTTACACCGGAGAAAACCTGCTGGCTGGCATTGACTGGCTGCTGGATGACATCTCCAGCCGGATATTCACAGCAGACTGAGCCGGAGAGTGGATGCTGGGTATCCCACCCCCCTCCACCATCACTGCTGCCCCCTGTGTGGCTAGTCACATGGCGTGTGGTTTTTTTTCCAGACAACCGCACACCTTGTGCCTGAATGGATGGAGTGTGGTTCTTTTTGGATGAATTCACTGCACTGGTGGCGGACAGAAACCAGAATCCTGTGGACGGGTTGGGCTCAGGGCACTGTGCCCTGTGGAGGAACGGGGAAAGGGCACCGTGGGGTCTTGCCAGCTGCCCACCTCTGTTCTCCATGCGAGCCTGTATTAAAAGCTTACTAATAAAACCGCTGCTGTGATCCAGAGCTATAGCATATTTATTGATTGTTGTTGTTGCATGCCATTAAGTCGCTTCTGACTTAGGGCAACCCTGTGAGTGAGCCGTCTCCAAAATGTCTTGTCCTTAACCGCCCTGCTCGGGTCTTGCAAATTCAAACCTGTGGCTTCCTTTAGGGAGTCAGTGAATCTCGTATTTGGTCTTCTTTTCCTGCTGACTTCTCACGATGTGCCCAAAGTAAGACAGCCTCATTTTCAACAGTTTTGGCCTCCAGAGATAGTTCAAGCTCGATTTGATCTAGGACCCATTTTTGTTAGTCTTTCTGGCAGCCCAAGGGACCCGCAAAGCTCTCTTGCAAACGAAATGTGATTCGTTTGAAACCACATTTCAAAGGAATCAGTTTTCTTTCTGTCAAGCTTTCTGGACTGTCCAGGTTTCACACCCACACAGGGTGATGGAAATCTTATTTACAGTGATAATCCCACTTTTCCTCCAGCGAGCTGAAAAGTACATGGCTTTCTGCCTCTCCCCCCCGACAGCCCTGCAAGGTAGGCTGATCTGAGAAATCAAAAGAAAGTATAACTTGCTGAAGGTCACTCAGTTTCATGGCTTAGTGGGGACTAGAATCTTGATTTTACAGATCCTTAGGCTGCCTTTGGAAAGATTAACCATGTCGACTTGATGGGGCTGGCTGCAGCATGATCTGTTTTGTCTCCTTGGCCTGGGCAAAATGTTCCTCAGGCAGTGGATCTCCCATGATTTAGGGGCTGTGGGGCAGATCTTCCTTTTGTAGGTCTCGAAGCTGCTTTCCTTGCTAACCTGGAGATCCAATTTTGGCAACATGCAGGAGGTGGCCACAGAGGAGCAGCCCGGCTGAGATTTTTCAGGAGGATAACATTGTAACCTTTATAAAAAAAATTATTTTACTAGAATTACACAACCTGAACCTACTCTACCACACAGAAAAAAAGAAATTACAATAAAATAAAATACACTTACATATCACACAGTGCCACATTGTAACAGGAGCTTAATCCAAAATGAAAACAAAACCCACCAGGGGCAATGATTTTATTTGCTGTCACGAAAGCTCACGATCTTATGCTTTCCATCAGGCTGAGTATTTATTTATTTATTTCATTTATACCCCGCCTATCTGGTCAATTATGACCACTCTAGGCGGCTTACAACACACACTATAAAAAACAAACATATAACATAGCACATAACAACTAACAGTAAAACAGAGGGAGGGAGGGAGACATAAAATTACCTCAGGTGGACTTTTCTGATTCTTCTTCCCCCCCCCCCTTTTCTTTTTTTGCAAGGGGTACCATCTATTGCAGGGCAATGAATTTCTATCAAAAATCTGAACTGTGTTCGGGGGCCAAACCAACTTTACTTAAAAATAAAATGAAACAGTGATGCCATGATTGTTTTTATTTTAAACTTGTTAATCTTCACAAATACTAAAGAGTTTTTTCGTGGTATGTTAAAGATAAGCAACTGATCAACTTTTGACAAAAAGCTATAAATGGTTTTGATGTTCAAAACTTCGGGCCGGACAGGAGCAGCTCGCGGGCCATATGTGGCCCTCGGGCCGCACTTTGGCCAGGTCCGATCTATGGCAATACATCCCAGTCTTAGGTCCCCAGATGTTCTTGGACTAGCCATCTCTGATCTATTGCAATACATCCCAGTCTTCGGTCCCCACGTTCTTGGACTACAACTCCCAGAAATCCTGGTCAGCGCAACTCGTGGTGAAGGCTCCTGGGAGTTTTAGCCGAAGAATTTAGGAACCCTGGTCTAGCTCAGCAAAAAAAATAAAAATAAATTCCTGCAGAACTCAAAAGCTGTTATGGTCTTTGATTTGTTTCTAACACAGATACTGCTTTATAGTGGGTTTTATGTTCACACAAAAACCAGCATGCCTTTCTTGAGGGGGGGGGGTTATATTCAGGACTGTCATCGAAAAGACCAGCATGAATTTGACCCAATTCGGGAAAGAAGTGGAAGACAAGGAGGGCCTTGGCCTGCTCTCGTCCTTGGGGGTCACAAACAGTCGGACACAACAACTACACAACAATATTCAGGATATAACTTTCCAGCATCTGGCTGACTATGTTAATTAACGAACATCGCCTCTGACAGGACTCTGGCTTACATTTTTTTTTAAGGATTTATGTGGAATAACTTCATTTGATTTACGTATTACGTTCCATTTTTTCCCTCCAGTTTGGTCAAAACAGTGTGTGTAGTTCTCTCTCTCGCCCCATTTTTTTTTCTTCTCAACAAATCTTGTGAGTTAGATTAAGCAGAGGAATGTGGACCGGCCAAAACTTCACGCCAAAATGCAGAGTCAATTCTGGGTTTCCGTGGCGTGGCACTTTTCAGTGAAGGGTTATTTTAATTTAATTTTTACCCCCACCTTCCTCCTTCAAAAGGTGGGTCTACCTCAAGAGGAAAACACTGTATTGATTTTAAAAAAAAGCAGAAAGAAAGGAAAAAATAAAAGGGAGACAGAAGAAAAGGAAAAAGACGAGAGGAACTAAACCTTGAGAAGTACAGGGAAATAAAACTCTGCACTAGATTTTATTTATTTATTTAAAATATTTTATTCCTCCTTTCTCCTCAAAAGGAACCAAGACGGCTCTTACATCATTAAAAGGACAATATTTAAAAGTTTTCATTAACTGGATTCTTAACATTCCTGGCAGTTATTTTTTTTTTAAATTAAAAACAGCATTTTTGATTTTCTATTTTTTCTTTCTTACACTGAAAAAAAAAAGAAAAGAAAAATAAGGATTCATAAAAAACTGTATTTCTTTCTTATGTTTTTAATCCCACTCATTTCTTCTCAAAACAGATAGCATCGCTCATCATCCAACCCTCACTGCCCCAAACTTTAACTTTCCTCCGGCGCCCAAATAGTCCCTCCCGGTCCCCGACGCGCCGCCACGCGGGTTGCACTTTGCAGACGCTCCCTTGTCCCGGGTCTCAAGCTTGGCCGGGAGCGAGGCTGGCCGCGCATGCGCCCGGGGAGAGAAGAACGCCTGACCCGACCGGGCGCCGAGGAGGAGGACACGCCCCCCCTCTGGTGTGGTGCTCGCCGGCCTGCGCATGCGCAGAGGGAGCGGCCCCGGATTTAAAGGGGCCGCGACGCGAAAAAAGGATCCCAGGGATGTCCCGGCGAGGGAAGGAGGAGTACGAGCGGCACTACGCGGTCACCGAGCCCCGCATCCACCCCAAGGGCTACACCGAGTACAAAGTGACGGCCAAGGTGAGGCGGGGGAGCGAGCTCCCCCACGGTTGGCGGGGGGAGGAGGATTGGGAAACTCCGCCTTGCTAAAAGGGAACGCGTGCCTTTGAGCATGTGCAGAGTTCCCAGCCGCAAAAAACTCCAGGGGTGCCCCCACCGCCCCACACACACTTTGCACGAGGGACTGGGGGGCAGTCACCCCCCTCTGGATCCCAGGCTTCTCGCAGCACCTGTGGGTGGGGACGTGGGTGCCAAGCCATTCCCATGCAGGTACGGGGGTGGAGGATGATGGTTTGGCTCTTGGACGCCCAGACACCCTCCTAGGGCATGGCTGGGGAGGGGCGGGTGGACCTCCGGGAATATGCATGTCAATTACTGGTAATAGACCACTAGGCACCAAGGAAGCCTGGAAGCCCATCATCCTTGGACACACCACTCACTTTTTCTGCCCATTTTCCCCTTCCAGTTCCTCTCAAAAGCGAAACCAGAAGATGTCAAGGAGGTAAGTCCCAACTGGGGAGTGGGAGGTGGGAAGATGCTCATTTATTTCTGGGAGGGGCTCCTCATCATGACAGTACCTGCCATCAAGTCAGCTCTTGAGTTATGGAAACCCTTTGCAGGGTTTTTCTGAGTATGGTTGTTGTTTAGTCGTTTACTCGTGTCCGACTCTTCGTGACCCCCCCATGGACCAGAGCATGCCAGGCCCTCCTGTCTTCCACAGCCTCCCAGAGCTGGCTCAAGTTCATGTTGGTTCCTTCAATGACACTGTCCAAACATCTCGTCCTCTGTCATTCCCTTCTCGTTTTGCCCTCACACTTTCCCAACATCAGTGTCTTTTCCAGGGAGTCTTCTCTTCTCATGAGATGGCCAGAGTATTGGAGCCTCAGCTTCAGGATCTGTCCTTCCAGATCCAACCCCTTCCAGGGTTGATTTCGGAGTATAGAAGTGGTTTAACTCTCCCCATCTTCTAGGGGCCACTCTGGGACCGTGCAGCTTGCCCAAGGCCACCCAGGCTGGCTCTACTCCCAGGAAGCCCTGCTGTGGAATCGAACGGCAACCTCTGGCTCAGCAACCAGATGCCTAAACCACCGCACTATTCAGCCAGGAGGCCCCCAGCCATATTGCCTGTATTTAGTCCCCCCTTTCTTCTGATGACCCCAAAGCAATGTTCTTTTCTGCTTTATCTTCCCAGTAACCCTGTAAGGCAGGTCAGACCGAAAGAAAAGAGAGATCCCAACAGGCCCCAGGATTTCATGAGGGCTAGAAATATTCTTCTACTTCTGAAGCCAACACCCTTTCCAGGGTGATTCTGGCAAAGCAGTGGATGCACCAAAATGTAAACTAAACGCTCAAGAGATGCACCACTGTACAGTCCAAAGTCAAGTTGCATCGCATCCCAGCCTGGTGGAGTCATTTTGGCTCAGGAAGTAGAAAATTCCACAACTTTCCAGAGAAGTAACTGTGTTTCAGGATGTATGAAAAAGCAAAGACAAAACAAAGCCTTTCGTCATGATGATGATTTCTTACAATTATACTCTGCCTTTCCATGAAAACACAGGGCTCAAGGCACCATACGTTGAGAAAACAGGCAACACCAAACTTTACTTAAAAATTAAATAAATAGAAAACTGAATAAACCAACTTCACTTAAAAAAACATTATAGTCGACTAAGGGCATTAAGTCATCCAAGCGACCAACATGAATTTGACCCAACTCTGGGAGGCTGTGGAAGACAGGAGGGCCTGGCGTGCTCTGGTCCATGGGGTCACCAAGAGTCGGACTAAACAACAAAAAGCACATTCAAATCAGCAAAGGTTAACATTCGAAACAGGGCAAAATTTGCAGGGGTAAATTAGACCTCACATGCCACGTCCTTCTTAACTTCAGGGGAAGTGGACACAGATCACATCTCGGAGGGGAGAGCATCCCACAGGCTGACACTGCAAATGGATTTATTTTAGTGTGAACTTTCTAGGGATTAGGGTTCCCATCCCCAGACACAGCCGGGCATTGTTTCCACAGAAGCTCACACTGAATTAAACTCGTGGAAATCACCAGGTCAGCTGCACTTTCTTAATCTCATGAGGAGAGGGAGTTGAGAGACACCGCGTGTTGTGTCTGGAGTGCCTTAACACGAATTGGGAAATACAAAGATTACATTGAAAACAGGATTTGGGCAGTGCTTTTTTTTGTCGTTTAACGTACCATCAAGCCACCTGCAACTAACAGAGATCCTCTGAACGAGTGACCTTCAAAATGCCCCGTCTTCAACATCTCTGCTCTTGTAAGCTCAAACCTGTGGATTCTTTTAGGGAGCCTGTCCATCTCTTATTTGGGTCTTCCTCTTTTCCTGCGGCCTTCCACCTTTCCTAGCCTTATTCCACAGAATCCTGCCTCCTCATGATGGGCCCAAAGTAAGGTGCCCTCAGTCTCAGCAGTTTTGTCTCCAGAGAGAGTTCAGGCTTGATTTGATCTAGGACCCCCTTGCTTGTCTTTCTGGCAGTCCAGGGCACCCACAAAGCGCCTCCTTTCAAACAAATCGATTTTAACTGTCCGGCTTCCACTCCCTGTGCCTGGCAACTGGGAATGCAATCGTGTGGGTCAGGTACGGGAAGACGGAACGGAGGCACCCGGGGCGTAGGTGTGCAGAGGGCCGGCACAATCCTTAGACTAAAGGAGGCCTTTTTTTCAGGCAGCTTATAACAGGAGGCGGCAGCGGGACGTCAGAAGAGAATGCCACGTTTTTACAGTGGAAGATGCTGTTTTCCCACCACTGTATCTTGATTCAGCTGTCAAGTCATGTCGGCTTTTATAGATGGGAGGGTCTGAAGGCCAGAGGGGGGGTGATACCTGGGCCAGAGGGGGCTCCCTCCTCTCATTTTGCCCCTGGCAGCAGAATGTGGTTTTTTTTTCCAGCAAGATCTTTTCCCATCCCCATCACAGATTGTGGTCTGGAAGCGATACAGTGACTTCAAGAAGCTGCACGGAGAGCTGGCCTACACTCACCGCAACCTTTTCCGACGCCTGGAGGATTTCCCCGCCTTCCCTAAAGCCCAAGTCTTTGGTGAGCAGCTGGGGTGGTCATCCCTCTATTTCTTCTTCTACAGGGCATGAGATATCTTTTTAATTTTTTTCTTTAAAAAAACAACAGAATTTTTAAGAAGGGCGGGCAAAGCGATGGCCTGCCAATGCTTCTGATGAGATATCTTTTTAATTTCTTTTTTTAAAAAACGAATTTTTAAGAAGGGGGGGGCAAAGCGATGGCCTGCCAATGCTTCTGGACTTTTATTCCCATCAGGTCTATCCAGCGCGGTATATAGAACATAAACATATACCAATGGTGGTTATTCTGGGTTTTTCAGGCTCTTTGGACCATTGGATCCCGGCCTTGAAAGCCTTCGCAAATATATACTGATGGTGCTTGTCTCTTTCTCCCCCCACCCCGCCCCGCCCGCCACTAGGACCTCTAGGTGGCAACACAGACTTTTCAGAGCTTGGCAAAAGTTACAGTTTGGGACTACAACTCCCAGGATCCTCTGGTCAGGGATTCTGGAAATGGCAGTCCAAAAGAATCATTTTTTTTTCTGCCCCTGGAGAAGAGAGTCTAAGAAGCCAGCAAAGCTGGGAGACTGTCTACCCCAAAGTCCTTCCAAAACCATTTGGGTGCCAGATCAGCGAGGTTAATACCCAACTGCCGTGCCCTGCCTATCCCAGACGCATTTTCCTTTGGCATAGAAGAAGCCAGAAGACGAGATAAATAATTTAGTGGGCGTGAGAAACCTTTTTCCTTTTCTTAGATGGGGTTCCTCTTTTGTGCTGGCAGTATAAATGCGAAGGCTTCTGTGCACAATTAAATGTACTTATTTGGTACCTTTATTTGATACCGTTCTGCTTTGAGCCCAAGGCTACATACATGCGTCTCTCCTGTGCCCTTTTCTCTTGAACAACAACCCTGCAAGGTAGGTACCTTTGATTCAGGACGTTTCATGGTCAAGTGGAGATTTGAACCTCTATCTCTTAACTACTATGCCACACAACCTCAGAGGTTAAGCCTCAGATTACGGAGATATGGCAACTGGCTGAACATCTTCGGTTAAAGCTTTAGAGGTATGCAGATCTGTGGACGCCTCCCTGGCTGGGAGCCGTAGTTCCAAAATGACAAGTCTTCGCCCCGCCAAGTTCTACCAACTGTGAACCGCTACACCATTGAGCTCACGGGTCACGATCCAAAAGATCACCGCCATGTGGATCCTAAGCAACTAGCCACGGGGCCAGCCACGGCTGTGGCCCTTGCTGCTGCTTTGGGGTGTGGCCGGCCCTGCCCTTAGGCAGAGGGAGGCACTGGCCTCAGGGGGCGGATAGTGGGAGGTGGCCGCAGGATGTTGGAAAAAAAACAGATGTGTGCTGAAACGTGGGCTGCCTGGCCACCCCATAAGCCAGCAAAATCCCGGCACCTTTTCGGTATGGGTCTGTTCTTCCCTGCAGGCCGGTTTGAGCCCGAGGTGATTGAGGAGCGTCGGAAGGCCGCCGAAACCATGTTGCGCTTCACCGTAAACATTCCAGCTTTGAACAACAGCCCTCAGCTGAAGGAATTCTTCCGGGTATGTGGGATTGGCGGGTTTCTGGTGGGGAGAAGGCAACCCGGTTGACTGAGGGAGTAGAGGTTGCTTACAATGTTTGGAAAAGAGGCCAGCTTGGGCAGAGACACTCGCCGAGAGATGTATTACACACAGTGTGGAAAGGAAGTAGATTGGGAGGGAATTTTCACCCTGTCTGTCGGCCGTCTCTGTGGGATGATGGACTGCCGCTGAAAGGTGGAAAAGGCAGGTCGGAAGAAAGGACTTACTCTTTCTTTCTTTATACAGATCAGAGAATGGCACAATTTAAAATTCTGAGCATGTCAATGAAATGTAGATAAAATTAAAAACAAATTGAAATGTTAAGAGAATGGACTGTTTTTGTCCAGAAGTGGGCTACGTCAATAGCGTTAGATGTTAAGAGAATGGACTGTTTTGGTCCAGAAGTGGGCTACGTCAATAGCGTTATCTCAGCCATTTGCTAAGATCTCCTTTAGTACACATAGCGGGGCCTACATAAGTTGCAGTTGCATATAAATGCTGCATGGGCGAGGCCTACGTAAGTTGCAGTTGCATATAAATGCTGCATGGATTGAATTTAATAATAATAATTTATTGTCATTGTAAGTATATACACATACAATGAAATTTCTCCACATCTATAGACCATTTTGTTCAGTTTTCGGGGACTTCCAGATGGTCCAGCCAGAATCTTAGACCATTTTGTTCAGTATTTGGGGACTTCCAGATGGTCCAGCCAGAATCTTCTTCGGGTGGGACACATTCTTCAGCTTTCATCCATTTGGCAAGGTTGAATGCTGAACAGCGTCTCTCGCCCTTGGGAAACTGTGGAACTCACTGCTGCAAGACTAGGGACAGCTGTGAAAGGAGCCAGAGTATATTCACGGAGGTCAGAGCCACCGGTGGCTGGTTTCTGTGAATCAGCATCCAGTTTAAGGAAGTGTCGCTTAGGAGCTGAGCTTAGAATCCTATCACACGCCTTCGCGCACAGAATATAATCCATTACAAACTGCCCTGATTAAAGGCAATTTCGCGATGCGCAGAACTTGGACACAACATGACCAAGCCGCGTGCATCCCAAAATTACCAAAGGAAGCCTTATCCGGCAGCAATTTATTGCCGCAGCTGCTACGATCACCGTGGTGCACATGGAACCGCACAACAGGATTTCAGCGTTTATATCGGTATCTGGGAGGCTGTCTTAAGGGCGGATTTCCCTTTGGGGGTATCTTAGTGTCCCCTCTAGAAACGGAATATTCTGCTAGAGAGACTCGCCATCCAGTCCAAGAGTCTTTGTGCCCTTACCTTTCTGTCTCCTCCTCTGGGTCCCCTGCTTGGGATCCTACTTGGAGGCCATTTTTTTCTTTTTTTTAACTCCCAGCACCGGTGGCGGGGCCACATGCAAACCTTGGAAACCAGAACCAGACGCTTTCAGAGGTCTGCTGCCAATTTTCATTTTCGATTAGGTGGGTTTCTTCGGTTTAATGCACAAAGGCCACTCCCGGGAGCTGCTCAGAGCAGGAAGACCTGATTTGGCTGCGTGGTTAGCAGGAGGCTTGTCACGACCTTTGGGTCCCGTTCTTGGTTCCTAAAGTGGGGCAGGTGTCTGGCCTTGCTCTCCCTGTATGTATGTGGGCCTCGGCTTCTCTCACGCGGAACTGGATGCCCTGAGTCGCGTTCCTGCTGGTGGTTCTGTCTTGCAGGGTGGGGAGGTGAGAAGGCCTCTGGAGAGCCCCGACCTGCCGTCTCTGCCTCCGCCCCTGATCCCAGTGCCTTCGGAAGGGGTAGAGCCGGCAGAGGATGCGCTGGGATCTGTCGCTGAGGAGGGGACTCTGGATTTGAACCCGGACCTGTGTGGGGCCACCGACGCGGTGGACCAGGGGGGTAGCCAGGAGCCCAAAATGGAGGAAAGAGGTACGGCCTTCAAGCGCTCCGTTCCTTGAACAAGAAGAGGTGGCTGTGTTTGTCTGTGCTCACGCTTCGGGCAGAAAGAAAAGAAAACTTAAAAAATAAACAGCATTGTGGCACCTTAAAGACTAACGGCTATATTTTAATGTGAGCTTTTATGGGCAAGCCTGCTTCTTTAGACATACTATTCTTGCGTCCCACTCTTCGGCCTGGAGAAGTGGGCTTGAGCCCTAAAAGCTCACGTTAAAATATAGCAGTTAGTCTTTAAGGTACCATAACATTTTTGTCTTCTTTCTTTTCCTTTCCTTTTGTTTTTTTGCCCGACATTCCAGCAAGAATGGCTCTTCTTTTCCTTTCCTTTTGTTTTTGCCCGACATTCCAGCAAGAATGGCTGGAGACCAGTTCCCCCCCCTTCCTCCTCACCTTGTGTTGCGGCCGTTTACCTTCTGATGAGAAAGTAGCATTCTGCGTATGTTCATGGGTAGTCTTGCCGTGATCCTAAAACAAGCTGGAATTTGCTTTGCACCGTTTACCTACGGGCCGTGGGGATGAGGGTGGACGCATGCGCGGAACAGAGAGGACTTGGGGAGTTCGCTCCTGCCTTTCCTTCTGCCTCTCCCCAGTTCACAGCCCCAACTGTTGAAATTTGGATTTGCAAACTACAATTTCTAGGCTGGGGTGAAGAGAAGCATTGGTCCCCTTCCTTATTATCTAGGATCCACATTGGGAATGGAGGCGCTCCGGACCCATGGCTTCTAAAAGTCCCCCCCCACCGCCTCCTCAAACAGCCCACCTTAGGATGCAGGGGAGGGGGGGCTTCCCAGTGTTGGTCTTCGGTGCCACCAGGTCTTTTCTGATTCAGGTTGGCCCACTCACAGTTTTCCAGGTCTGTGAGATAGTTAAGAGTTGGGGTGCTGTTGCCTCACCCCTGAGTCAGCAGATCCTGTGGCCAAGCAGGGAGTTGAAATGGCTGCCGTTGGGGCTTCCTGTATCCACATTTAAGATTGAGAGCAAGAGACCCACACCCTGAATGACCCCCCCCCAAGCAGTACAATATGACCCCCTGGTGAATGACCTTGGCCATTTTTATGCCGCCACCCTTCTGGACCTATTCTAGGCTGCAGGGGGAAGGGGGGAAGAATTGTCTTTGAATCGCCATTTCCTCTCCTAAAGATTTCTGGGATCATGAATTGGCCACTGGAGGTAGCGGGGTTCCTCCCCCCCCCCCTTCGGAGACACCAGATGGCGTTTGCAGCCCTCCGAGATGCAAAGAAGGCAAACATCCTCCCCAGGTCTGAAAGAAGGCAAACATCACCCCCAGCTCCTTAAAGGCTGCCCCTCCACACTTGTAACCAGTGCACTCCCGGGCTGATCTTAAGAGCTGCTGGCCAATGGATTTAACAGCCCAGGAGCTGGCAGGCTGGAGAAAGGTTGCAAGAGGCTGACCTGTGCTTTCCTGGGTGAGGGCTACCTGTCTTAGCTGTAAGCCTGCACTAGGTTCTTATTCTTTTCCCTGTTCCTCGTGCTTTACCCTTCCGATGGCCTGGCACAGGGACGCCTCCTTTGCCCACGAAGCACCACCACGACAACGACAACGACGAGGCCTTTGACGCCCTCTTTGCTTTCGGTGGAGATGATGAAGAAGGTGGGGAGAGGGGGGCGGGATCGCCTTCCTGCTGCCTCTTGTCCGTCCAGGAGCTGGCCCTCTTTGACCCTTTCTCCAAAGAAGGTAGGCGGATTCGGGGGGGTGTGTCGTGGTACAGCAGCGTATAAATAATACAGAGCATGTGAAGCCAGCTGTATGGCTTCCTCCCTGTTGTGCAGTCGTGAATTTGGAAGCGCTGTGTTGCTCCTGTGGAGAGCCCCCACAGCCATCCTACTTTTAAAAGAGAATCCAGGCATGCAGGCAGCTGGAGAAATAGAGGAGCGGGCCTTTTGTAAAGGTAATGGATCTTAATTGTTGATTCAAGACAAAAACACCTTCAAATACATGGCATTCCAAGAGGGGTAGCTTCCAACCTTATCCTGTTTCTGGGAAAACCAGGTTATCTGCCAGCTATGAAAAAAAAGCAGCTAAAGAAAGCAGGAAGGCAGGAAGGGGGGGCAGATGATGTCATAGTCCCTTCTACTCCAACCATCCAGTGAGCCCTGGCTCCACTACCACATTGGTTCCTGGTCCCTGGCTCAGTGGAATGAGGACTAGCTAGGCGAGCTAGGCAACCAAATGGGGTTGATGGTTTTTGTTCTTCTCTTCCCAAGTTATGCCCTTGTAAACCGCTCTCTCTGTTACCAGCCATTCAGCCGAGAGTGTTTTTTTTCGGGAATCAAGTGACTGAATGTTCCGTCTGCTTTTTCCTTTCTCGCTCAGCCTCCACGGCCGCCCCCCCTTCTCACGGGGAAGAGCTGGCTGTCCTCACCGCTGCCTTGGACCACGAACCAGCGCTTTCTGCTCCTGGTCAGGGACTGGTGCAGGCAGCCCAGGAAGGAGCAGCTGAGCCAGACCCGGGCGGGTATCTCCCCCTGGCCACCGAGCGCATCCGGCGTGCCCTAGAGAGCGAAGCAGCCCAAGACTACAAAGGGGCCTTCCATGGCTACCGCAGCGGGGTGGACCTACTGCTCCAGGGCCTGCAAGGTAAGGTGGGTCATGGAAGGTGTGGTCGGCTTGGCCACCTGGACCCTCTTTTCACGTTAGAGACAGGGGGCAATGCTAGGGCATTGGAGAAAGGTAGCTTGCTTTTGTTGGCATCCACGCTGGGTTTTCATCCGAACTTGGGAGCTATCGAAGTCGCTGGCTGTTGGGCTCCAAAATAGCTTCAGCACTTTGTGAAGCCCAGATTAGAATCTGCAGCAGATTTAGCACCGCATGAAATTGGAGTTGCCTCTGAGGGGGGGGAGTAGCAAGACTTGGGCGATAAGTATTGGGGGGGGTCTGATGTAAAGCTGTAAATACCACCAAGGTTCCTTTCCAACTGTGGGGATCTGAGCCTCCAGGGGCCCCTCCCAGCTTTGTCAAAATGGCTACATTCCCACAACACTGGTGTAAAGCAGGAATGGGGATCCTGGGGTGATTCTGATCTTCCTGGGACCCAGGTCTGACTTTTAACTCACCTAGTCCCAAGCTTGTTACGAGATACAAGCTCACTACCTGGACGTTAAATTGGGCCAAGAAACAAACAGGGAACCGGCGTGACAGTGCAACGGAAGTGGGGGCAGAATAATAAAACCCCGTTGAATTCCCATGTTGGCCGCACCTTCTTCCTTCTTAACATTGTTATTTGTTGGTTTCCCAGTTTTTGTGTAGGATTTTTTTTTTCAGAACCTGGAGATCTTACCATTATAGATAGATAGATAGATAGATAGATAGATAGATAGATAGATAGATAGATAGATAGATAGATAGATAGATAGATAGATAGATAGATAAAACTTTATTACGGTCAAAGACCAGCCTTACCATTTTAAGAAATCACAACTCCCAGAACCCCCCAGCCAGCATGCTTTGATGGGGGGAGTTTTAGTCCATTAAAAAGAGGAACATTTCTAAGCTCAGATTTTTTCCCCTACGTTAAAACCCCAGAGGCTTAATTACAAGGAGCAGGAGTGTGAAGATAAAAAGATGCTACTTAGGGGATTCTCTTGGGCTGACAGCCAATATCTAATGGGGTATCTGACAGCAGGAGAAGCGAAACCTTCTACCTTCTCCTGCTCTAACCTTCTCTCCTGGAGCAAAGTTTTAGGACACCCAAAGGAGTTGGAAGCTGAAAGAGAGAGTCAACGATCGGGGTGGAAGCAGCGCAATGCAGGAAAAGTGTATACCCGGATCTTGGCCTTTGGCCTCACTGCCAGGATCCAGTTCCCCAACTTCTCTGGATTTTGAATTTGGCACTTGGCATGGACTTTCTATACCACCAAGCATGTTTTCTAGGCAGTCGTCTCTTTTTTGAACTGCAAAGATTGAGTTTTGTAGCCACCACAACTACGTGCTAAACATAAAAAGACTGAAAGAACTGGGGGTTTAGCCTTGGGAAAATAAAGACAGAGGGGTGATATGATAGCACTTCTCAAATACTGTACTGGAAAGGCTGTCCTACAGAGGAGGGGCAGGATTGGTTCTTGATCATCCTAGAGTGGAAGGACGTGCAACAATGGGCTTTGGTTACAGGAAGCCAGATTTTAATTGAATATTTTTTTAAAAAAACTTCCTGTTAGAGCAGTACAATGAACCTATGACCTTGAGAGGCGGTGGTGAGTGCTCCAACGCTGGAGGCCTCAAGAGAAACTTAGACAACCCCCTGGCAGATCTCCTTTGACGTGGATTCCTGCATCGAGCAGGGGGTTGGACTTGATGGCCTCGTAGGCCCCTTCCAACTTCACTATTCTGTGGTCCTATGGTAGTGACACAGATTTGTATGTTCAGACCTAGAACCTCCCAGAATTCCCCCAGGGCAGCAGAGCTGTGTGTTTGAGACTAGCATTTCCCAGAACGAATTCTGGGAAAATTCTAGATCTGAATGCAGAAACCTGTACAGTACATCTCTAGTTAGGAACATCCCTCATATAAGGCCTGGCTGAGCTCCTCACAGCCTACAGGACACTTTTCATGACAGCGTTCCATGTAAACAACCTTCCCCTTGAAGTCTTGTGCAAAACCTTATAAAACAAACCGTTGCTATAGATTTTATGTGGAAAGAATATGTTGGGACTTTGAGGGGTGTTGACCCAAAATCTTGAAAAGCAAACAAACGGCAGAACACAAAGGGACCCTGTGGTTCATCATCTGATCGGCTTGTTAACACGGTTGGGCGACACCACCAATGTTGGGGCTGGTGCTACAAAATTTCCGGCATAGGTTTTGAGGAGGCGAAGTGTAGAGGCTCGGCTAACTGACAGGACCAGTAATGGGCACGGCGGGGTTCATGTCTAGCTCCCTAACTGATGTTTCTCTGCTTTCAGGGGATCCTGATCCAGCCCGTAGGGAGGCTGTCAAGAAGAAGACGGCCGAGTACCTACAGAGGGCAGAGGAAATATTTCAGCAACATCTAAAACATCTGCAGCTGTGAGCCATGTGGTTGCACACCCCAGCGTATGTACACAAGAGAGAGGGCCCTGTGCCAGCTACAGGCGCCTGGTTCCAGCGGGCTAGAATCCATTCTGTGACTGGCCTTCCCTCTCCATGTACCCCATTTTGTTGGGTATTCCTGTAAAATACGTGTTTGTAAATCTTCTTCCCAGTGACCCTCGCTACCTTTTTTTTCAAGGCCTTCGAGCTTCTGCTGTTCTTTGGGTGTGCCCGTATTTGTCATGCGCAGGTATGGGTGCGAGACGGCAATCGGAGCTACAGCCTTGCACAACAACCCCACGTAGGACATCATCTCCCAAACATCCCCAGACAAAGTGAAGTCCAGGCGTCATCAACTATAATGGGCCGGAGGTGGAAGGGAGCAAATTTTCCTTAAATCAATCATTTGTGGGCTACGCCTGATCTAGAAATGATAGCAAATGGCCAAACATGTTTTAAAAGAAGCTGTATTTTGATAACACAGATACCTACTTCCAAGTTTAGATCTGGGGGAGGGGGGTGTTGGGCTCCTCCACTTCATGCCAAGGCTGCATTTTCTGAAAACCTCCGGGTACTGAAATAATCACATGCCACCAAGTTGATTCTGAGTTACGACACCCCTTTCCAGGGTTTTCCTAGGTAGACATATTCAGAAGAGGCTTACCATTTCCTTCCACTAGGGGGAGCGCTGGGACTGTGCAGCTTCCCCAAGGCTATCTAGGCTGAATCTCCTCTGGGTGGAGGCACGCGGAAAACAGAATTCCCAAGATCTAGCTAAACAAACTACAGTGGTGCCTCGCATAGCGACGTTAATCGGTGCAGCAAAAATCGCTGCAAAGCGATTTTGTCGCTATGCGATATTAAAAAGCCCATAGGAATGCACTGAAACCCCTTTAATGCGTTCCTATGGGCTTCAGACTCGCCTTAAAGCGAAAATCCTCCATATGGTAGCCATTTTCGCTGCCCGGTAAGTGAGGAATCCGTCCCAGAAAACAGCGGGCGACCATTTTTTTTACCTGGTGGCCATTTTGGAACCGCCGATCAGCTGTTAAAAAATCATTGCTTTGCGATGATCAGTAAGCGAAACAGGGTACCAATCATCACAAAGCGATTTTCCCCCATAGGGAACATCGCAAAGCGATCGCAAAAAGTTAATCGCTATGTGATTTCATCATTAAACAGGGCGCCCATTAAGCGAGGCACCACTGTATTTGTTTGAAGCACCAGTGAAAGTCATTGGAGTGCTGGGGTGTGTGTGTGTGTGTGTCTGAGAGTCATTGGAGTGCTGGTGTGTGTGTGTGTGTGTGCACAATTGGCACCTCCCACCCTGGTGTAGGCCAGCACCCTTGGGAAACAACAGGTTTGGGAAATCTGCCCTAGAATCTTGATACGGGGAGGATTTGTAAGAGCCTTCATTCACCTCCTCTCTCGCTCCTTTCACACAGCTTCTTCTGGGAAGCCATCGTGGAATGGAAATGCCTTCGTTCGTCCTGTTCAGAGCTCAGAAAAAAATATGTTATATTTAATGTGTTAAATCATTACTTTTTCATTAAACAGGAGCAGATGCCACTGGTGCATTGAAATTGACTTTTATTTCCAAGGGCTGGTCATGTTTGAGTTAGTCCTTTCAAGATCTGGAGCAGAATGGAACCACAGACCTCTTTTGCCTCTTCCTTCTCTCACCTTGGAAATTGTATCACAGGCCAGGAAAAAACAACAACACTACGATTGTGGTGGATTTTCAATTTTTATAAATCCACACAAATCTCTCTTTTGTTGTGTACAGTAGGACCTCTGTAGCCATAGGATCAGTATCCACGGTTTCACCTATCCATGGTCTGAAAAATTTAAAAATATTAAAAGAAAAAAAAATCCAGAAAAAAATATTTTCACATGTATTACCAGAACAGGTCACTGGATGGAGCCAGAGACCATGCTATACTTGTTAGTGAAGTGTCCTCTAGTGGCCAGTTCCAGTAATGCATGTGAAAAAAAATCTTGTTTTTTTTCTTTTACCATGATATTTATAGTGTTCACTATTATCCACGGTTTTCAGTATCCAAAGAGAGGGGCTTGGAACCAATCCCCTGTGGATATGGGGGTCCTACTATATTCTTTTGTGCTTCCTGCCCTGCACGGCCTCAGATGGTCACAAAAAGGGAGGGTGGACACAGGAAGAATGACTCTCTACTTAGAAGGAAGCTGCATTGAATTCCATACATGCTTGAGTTAAGCATGTGCTAGATGTGCTAGGTGCAGGCTTTCCAGATCACTGGGCATGCATAAGTGGAGAGCACGAGAGAGGCGATCCTGCCAGTTTTCATCTGGTTTTTATGTTCACTCCTTTGGAAAAGGAATCAGGAACATGTGGCTAGGAATGGGATTTTTTAAAATTTCTTAAACTACAAATCCTATAATTCTGGGAGTTGTACCTGACAGACCTTATATAGACAGACATGCGGCTCACCTGGGAGAAAAGCTGCAACTTGGAGGGCTTCGAGAATTAACTTGGCCTTGCTCTGCCCACCTCTCTATTCAGAAAGGAAGCTCCCAAATAGCACGGGGGCAGGAACAAGAAGCTTGGGTGGAGGTCTTTTCTCCAGCTCAGTTACATTTAGCTGTCTCTATATATCAGGTATAACTCCCAGAATGAAGAATTACATGATTTGTAGTCCAAGAAATCCAAATGTCCCATCTCTACATGTGACCTTCTAGATAATCCTATTATCTTTGTTCATCAGCTCTCCTGCCTAGAGCTGATGGGGACTGGAGTCCTCTAGCAAATATCTTTGCCCTAGAGCAGGGGTTCCCAATCTTGGGTAACCCAGGTGTTCTTGGACTGCAACTCCCAAAAGCCCTTGCTCACTGTGCCAGCAAATATCTTTGCCTTAGAGCAGGGGTTCCCAATCTCCCAAAAGCCCTTGCTCACTGTGCTGGCTGGGATTTTGGGGAGTCATCATCCAAGAATATACGGGACCCCAAGGTTAGGAACCACTGCCCTAGAGGCTTTTTTTAAGATAGAGTAGTGCAGTGTAGGCTTGCTTTATACAGTGGTGCCTTGCTAGACGATGATAATCTGTTCCACTGAAATCGCTGTTTAGCGGAATCATCGTCTAGCGAAAAGCATTTCCCCATTGGAATGCATTGAAACCTGTTTAATGCATTCCAATGGGGAAGAATCGTCGTTGTCTAGCAAAGATCGGCCATAGGAAAGCCACTTTGCGAACCGCCGATCAGCTGTTTACATCGCTGTCTTCCGAAGCTTCTTCGTTTAGTCTTGTCCGGCTCTTCGTGACCCCATGGACCAGAGCACGCCAGGCCCTCCTATCTCCAGTGGTCAAAGGATCACTTGTGAAGCTTACGTCCCCCAAACACCTGTTTTGCGAGCGCGGAAGGAGCTGTCAAAATCATCATCTAGCGAAAATCGGTTTGCGAAGCAGGGACCAAACATTGGAATCACTGTTTTGCGAATCACTATAGCGATCACATCAATGTCTAGTGAAAAAAAATGTCATGCGGGGTAACTGTCTAGCGAGGCACCACTGTACTTAATTTTTTTTTCCCCAAAGGAAAAGAAATTCTCATTTTTTCTTAGAAGATGGGCTCCACCTTAATGATAGCAGAACTTTGCCAATGGCCCCTTTGTTCTGTTGTTTTAAGGAGCTGTTGTACAGCAGTAACTTTGGGGGCTGTCCCTCCTCCCTTTTGCATTTCCTTCACTGCCATTTTGGATCAAGGGCCAGGAGTGAGGCTGCTACAAAGACATGTTGGAGAACTGGGTAGCCATGTAGCCCTCTACAAGCTGATGGAGGATCACAACCGCAGTCCACCAGTATCTGGGAGGGCCATATACACTTTCCATCCCTGATTCAGAGAAAATTCTGCAAAGTGGCCTCAGGGTGGAGCATCGGATCAGAACAACCTTTGCGATCCTCAGCCCTCTCTCATTCAGGGAAGGTGGGGGCCTGTTTTTCCTACCCAACACATGCAGTGACCCAGCCCATAGAGGGCTACACCTCATCCTCAGCATCTGGGGAGCTTCACATTTCAGATACAGCAGGTACAAAAAGTGGCTAAAACAAGAGGTTGAAAATGTTAGCCAAAATCTTGTTCAGCAAGTTCTGCCTGTGCAACAGGAATGGCGCCATCATCCGTGGCAGATTGCAGCTGATTTAACACTTACTTTTTCAGTGTTGGCATGCATGCAACTTGGTCTCATTATGTGTGAGCTGTGCAAACCCCAAAATTTAAAAATGAAGTCTTTAATCGTGGCAATCTGCCACTGACAGTGACGCCATTCCCCTTGCACAGGCGAAGCTGCTCAACGGGATATTGGCCATAATATTTCAATTTCCCCTACTCCTTAAGTACTATAGTATTGAGCATTGGGGGGGGGGGTTAAGTTTTTTGAGTCCTTCTCTCTCAAAACCATTCCTCGCTTAAGAATCTTGGCCACTCTGAAACTTTCCTTCTAGGATGCGCAACAGATGAGCCTTGCAGTGTAAAAAAAAAGGTGTTGTTTATTTGTTTGTTTGTTTGTTTGATTTATAAAAGGTGTTTATTTGTTTGCTTGTTTGTTCAATCTAACTGTATATTCTACCACTCTTGTTGATCCCACGCCTGTCTTGAACCTCCCAGAATGGTCACCTCTAAAGTTAGGCACGGTCCAGATCTGATTCCCAGATCTGTTACACCTGCCTTTGAGGAAGAAGAGTTAACGGGGAGCGAGAGAGGGACCCCAAGAAACTCACCAAGGGGTTGGGTCCAGCTTCAGCCGGACTCAGCTTTCACCTAGTGCAACAGTCCCCAAATTCGGATCCCTAGATGTTCTTGGACAACAACTTCCAAAATTCCTGGATGGCACAATCGGTGGGCAAGGTTGCTGGGCGTTTCAGTCCAAGACCGTATCGGGACCACTGCTCTGCTGCCATCGCCCAGAAACTGCCAAGGCGGCTAAATGGAGGGGTCCGCGGGCCTCTCCATCCAGGATGACTGATGTTTCCAGGTATGTACTGGCACCGCCTTATCCTATCCACATGTCCCCTCCTCTCTCTCCTTTCCAGTGGTCAAAGGATCACCCCCCAACCCGGCAGGAGAAAAGAGTGCTTACCTTGTGGGCTCTCCCCCTGCCATGGATCCTTTAGGTCAGACCCTCAAGGTTCTGGG